CCTTGTTCTACATCCTCTTCTGAATCCAGCCTGAACCCCGGCAGCTAGCTGTCAATATACTGCTGCAACTGTTGTTGGGTGATCTTCAGCAAAATTTCACTTGCATGTGATAACAATGATGTTGTTCTATCATTTGAGCATTCTGTTAGGCCACCTTTCTTTGGAATGGCCACAAATATGGATGTCTTCTGGTCAGTTGGCAAAATAGCTGTCTTACAAATTTCCTGGCAGAGATGAATGAGTGCTTCCAATGCTTCTTCAGCTTCTTCAAACATTTCAATTGGTATTCCATCCATTCCTGGAGCCTTGTTTTTGGCTAATGCCTTCAGTACAGCTTGGACTTGGTTCTTGATCATGTGCTACCTCTTGAAATGGTCTGAATGTCAACTAGTTCTTTTGGTACAGTGATTCTGTATATTTTGTCCATTTTCTTTAGATGCTTCCTGTGTCATTCAATATATTGCCATAGAATCTTTCTATATTGCAACAGAAGGCTTGAATATTTTCTTTGGTTCTCTCAATTTAAGATCTTCTGAGCGTGTTCTTCTTTTTTAGTTTGCTACCTCTAGGCCTTTGCACATTTTATTATAATATTTGACTTTGTCTCCTTGAGCTGCCCTATTCCGCTCTTTTACTTCATTGTTCCATCCATTTGCCTTAGATACTCTATGATTAAGAGCAAGCTTCTGTCAGTTTTTCGTACTGTGGTGGCTTGTGTGTTACTGTGATGCTGTAAACTATGTCACTGGGATTTCAAATACCAGCAAGGTCACCCAATTTGAACAGATTTCAGTAGAGCTTCCAGACTGAAAACAGACTACAAAGAAGGAATAGGCTGTCCACTTCAGAGAAATCAGCCTCTGAAACCATTATGGATAGCACGGAAATATCATCAGATAATGAAAACGTCATGAATAGAAGCACAGAGACCTAGTAAACAGTAAGATAACAGCAAATAATAAAAAGTGAAAGAAAACCAAAGACACAATGAATTCAGCAAAAAAAATTATGAGGAACAAAGAAATAAAAATACAGCAAAAAACAGCAATAAACTCATACTTATCAATAATGACTGTGAATATGGATGGATTAAACGCACAAGTCATTAGCCAGAGAGTAACATGGTGGATAAGAAAGCAAGATCCTTCCCGACATGATTGCTAAAGACAAATTGGGTGCATAAGCAAATGTGGTGAAGAAAGCTGATGGTGCCCGGCTATCAAAAGATATAGCATCTGGAGCCTTAAAGGCTTGAAGATAAACACACAGCCACATAGCTGAGAAGCAACAAAGCCCACATGGAAAAGGCTCATCAGCCTGTGTGATCACAAGGTGTCGATAGGATAAGGTATCAGGCATTAAAGAACAAAAAATCATATCATTGTGAATGAGGGGGCGTGCAAAGTAGGAACCCAAAGCCCATCTGTAGGCAATTGGACATCCCCTTACAGAAGGGTCGTGGAGAGGAGATGAGCCCATCAGGGTGCAGTGTAGCACCGATGAAACATACAACTTTCCTCTAGTTCTTTAACGCTTCCTTCCCACCACCACCCTCCCCCACTATCATGATCCCAATTCTACCTTACAAATCTGGCTAGACCAGAGGTTGTACACTGGTACAAATCAGAGCTGGAAACACAGGGAATCCAGGACAGATAAACCCCTCAGGACCAATAATGAGAGTAGTGATACCAGGAGGGGAAGGAGAAGGTGGGGTAGAAAGGAGGAACCAATCACAAGCATCTACATATAATCCCCTCCCAGGGGGATGGACAACAGAAAAGTGGGTGAAGGAAGACATCGAACAGTGTAGGACATGACAAAATAATAATAATTTAGCCCTCTAACTGCAGTGGTCTCAGGTGACTTGCCAAAATGGTTCACTACTCACTTGACCCAGAAAACCCTACAAAATCCTGCAAATCAAGAGGGTCAAACCTCCGGGTCCACTTCAAGAACACCCGTGAAACTGTACAAGCCATCAAAGGCATGCATATCCGGAAAGCCGCCAAATACTTGAAAGACATCACTCGGCAGAAGCAGTGTGTGCCCTTCCGACATTACAATGGTAGTGTTGGTAGGTGTGCCCAGGCCAAAGAGTGGGGTTGGACCCAGGGTCAGTGGCCCAAAAAGAGTGCTGAATTTTTGCTTCACATGCTTAAAAATGCAGAAAGTAATGTTGAACATAAGGGTTTAGCTCTGGTCATTGAGCACATCCAGGTGAACAAAGCCCCCAAGATGAGCCGCCAGACTTACAGAGCTCATGGTCGGATCAACCCATACATGAGCTCCCCCGCCACATTGAAATGATCCTGACTGAGAACGAACAGATCGTTCCCAAACCAGAAGAGGAGGTTGCACAGAAGAAAAAGATTTCCCAGAAGAAACTGAAGAAGCAAAAACTCATGGCTGGGGAATAAATTAAGCTTAAAATAATCAAAGTTAATGAAAGCTAACATAATAATAATCATTTATAAATTATCAAGGGTTCATGAGGGAGGGGGCTGGGAGAGGGAGGGGCAAAATGAGGAGCTGATACCAAGGGCTCAAGTAGAAAGAAAATGTTTTGAGAATGATGATGGCAACAAATGTACAAATGTGCTTGACACAATGTATGGATGTATGGATTGTGATAAGAGTTGTAGGAGCCCCCAATAAAATGATTTTTTTAAATAAGTTGCTGAATGCAAGAATGTTCTATTGTGTATATTTTTGCCACCATAGGAAAAAATAATTACATGAATAACAAGGAGTATAAGGAAGAAGAAAATGTTTTAAAATTAATTGTGGTAATGATTGCACAATTCTTCTTGATATGATTGAACTATTGAATTGTCTGATATGTGCCATTAAAACTGCTTTTTAAAAGTGGGGGGGGGTTCTATGAGCCCCCGATAAAATGATTTTTAAAAAAAGGATTTACAGTCTTAGAAACCCACAGGAGCAGCTCTGCTTTGTCCTACAAGGTTGCTCTGAGTCAGAATCAATCTAACGGTAGTGAGTGGTATAATGAATAGGATTGTTTGAGGTTAAATGAGATAATGTCTGAAAAGTGTCTGTTATTTAATTGATGTCTTTCACTAGACCAAGAGTTCTTAATCTGTGAGATTTAGGGGGTACATGGTTGAACTTCATGGATCTAAAAATATTCCTGGAGAGTATCTGAAATTTTATATACGTATATGTGCATTTTTGCACCCTGGAAAGAAGACCCATAGCTTTCAGCATCCTCAAGGGCTATGAATATTTTTTTAAAAAAGGAAAAGAAAAAGATTAAGAACCTCAGACCTAACTCATATGAAAGCTTCAAAGAGTTAGAGCCACCTTCCAGAGTTGTGCACACAATATATATTAAAGAGAGTTTGCATAATATACACTAACTCACTGCCATTGAATCCCCATTCCAAAAACCCTATAGGCTAGGGTAGAACTGCGACTGTGGGTTTCTGAGACTGTAACTCTTTTTTTTTTTTTTTTCAGAGACTGTCACTCTTTATGGGAGTAGAATGCCTCATCTTTCTCCCTTGGAGCAACTGGTGGGTTCAAATTGCTGGCCTGGCAGTTAGCAGCCCAATGCGTAACCCACCACCTATTAAACTCTGAAGAACTCTGTGTATGCGCGCGTGCGTGCGTGCGTGCGTGCGTGTGTGCATGCGTGCGTGCGTGCGTGCGTGGGTGTGTGTGTGTGTGTGTGTAGTTTTCATTTTCTTCTGGTTTTTATTTTGATTTTTTTAAACCATTTTATTGAGGGCTCTTACAGCTATTGTACCCATCCATACAATTGTATCAATTGTATCAATTGTATCAAGCACATTTGTACAAATGTTGCCATCATTATTTTCTGGGCATTTACTTTCTATTCCTTGGTGTCAACTCCTCTTTCTTCCCTTTCCTCTTCCCCCACCTTGGTGACCCCTTGATATATTATAAATTACTATTATTTTCGTATCTTACAGCGACCTCTGTCAATAGTTTATTTTTGACTGACTAATGGATTACGTTTAGTCAATAACCTAAATGGCAATGGACTGATAAAGGCGATAACTTGATAATTGTAACTCTGCCCATTAGGATTTGATATGTATCCCACTCAACTGTATATGTGTTTTTGTTTGTTGTTTGATCAATAAGAGAGCATGTATGAAATTGCAAACTGTGTTCCTCTATTTTTCCATTTTCTTTTAAAGGAGCTCCATGATTCTGGAGATTGGTTAGTATAATACAAAGAAATAAGGAGGGAGGTCCAACATGACCCTGACCACCAATGCCAGCACTCATACCATTATGGTTATAATTAAAGTTATCCATTTTTGTTATTCACTAAGTTTGTATAGAGCATAAGCCAAAGCTATTAACTTGAACTTGAGGTATATACACAAAAACATACACAGCCTTAGGCAAAATAGTCTCCAATTGCAGCATTACATTTTAAAATAATTGGAAACTGAGTAGCTGTGTCAATAGCATGTGTCAGGGGTCTTTATACCCATTTTTCAGATGCAGACACTAAGACAGAAAGAAGTGGTTTGTATAAGGCTGAATTTGGAATCAGTACAAATAATTAGTGAGCACTTGGTCTAGACCCAGAACTGAGTCAGGCGTTGGGAACCCGATTCCAATCAAAGCTCAGCACGACATCTCCCTTCCCCTTCGTAAAAGGGTTGCACAGCCCACCCCACCCCCTGACGCCCACCACTCTGGCACTATTGGTGGCACAAATGCGTTTCATTGACACTTTCGCAAACCGTAATCGATTTTCCATGGCCCACTAAGAGACGCTTTCCGGACACGGCGTTCCGCCCCACGCCGGGCCCCGCCCTCTCGACAATCGGCATTCTTCGGGTCTTCCCGGCGTCCCTCGGCTTCACTCGGTAGTTTCCGGCAATGTTCGAGAGTTTGTAACCTGCCCCCTAGTTGTCTCTGGGCCGCGTCCTCCCAAACGCCCGCCGCTTCTCCCCTCCTGCTCGGGCCCCCCCGCCCACCAGCCACAGTCCCTGCTGGCGCCTCTGGCGCTACGGGCTGGGCAAGATGGCGGCTTTCGGGATCTTGAGCTACGAACACCGGCCGCTGAAGCGGCCGCGGCTGGGGCCTCCCGATGTGTACCCTCAAGATCCCAAACAGAAGGAGGTGCGTTCATTAAGGGCTCTTGAGGGACCAAGGACAAGCGATCAGCAGAGCCGGAGGCATTGACGGTTGGGCGAAGGGGGGGCGGGGCGATTAGGTGGGAATGAAAGTCCCGAAAGGGGGCAAGAGTAAAGTGGGCCAAGGTGGGAGAGTAGGACCTGGATCTTGGGGCTTCTGGCTATGAATAGGGAGCGATGTAGGGGGCACGCTCGAGGGGCCCCCAAAACACACACACACACACAAACGCACGCACACCCCTCAGAAAGTTGTCTGAGGTAGCGTGGTGAGGGTTTTTTTGCCAGGAAAGACTGATGTTGAGGGACCTCTGGGTGGCTGGGAATCTTAGTGACTGAAGGGGTGAGGGTGTGGTCCAAAGGAATATAAGGGCCGAGCCTTAAATAACTATCTGTTCTATTCAGAACCCCCCTCCGACTTTTTCCCCTCGTGCCTCTTGCTCGCCCCTCCTACCCTCCCTACCCCACGGGGTAGGGGGGGGCGGTTAAATGTCATTTTCCTGTCTCAGGATGAGCTGACAGCTTTGAATGTCAAACAAGGTTTCAATAATCAGCCTGCTGTCTCTGGTGATGAACATGGTAGTGCCAAGAACGTCAACTTCAATCCTGCCAAGGTGAGGCGACCCTACCATGCCGAAGGAAATGGCTGGAAGAATCTGAGAAAGGAGCAAATGCCCTCGGTTGGGAAGGGCAGAGTATTCCCCAATACTCATAACCTAATGGTATCACATTGGCATTTGCCCGTCAAAGGCACAACCACCTGCCTACTTGCCCCTCTACCCTCAGATCAGTTCCAACTTCAGCAGCATCATTGCAGAGAAGTTGCGTTGTAACACCCTGCCTGACACTGGTCGAAGGAAGTCCCAAGTGAACCAAAAGGACAACTTCTGGCTGGTGACTGCACGATCCCAGAGTGCCATTAACACCTGGTTTACTGACCTGGCTGGCACTAAGCCACTCACACAACTAGCTAAAAAGGTGAGGTGCTATTTCCTTTTCTGTAGGCTAAGGGGGAAGTGTGGATCCCCAATACTCTCATTCCCAGATTAAGCTACCCGAATGCCAGCTCATGGGGTAATAGAAGCCTCACTACTTGCCATATCCATCCAGGTCCCAATTTTCAGTAAGAAAGAAGAAGTGTTTGGATACTTAGCCAAATACACAGTACCTGTGATGCGGGCTGCCTGGCTCATTAAGATGACCTGTGCCTACTATGCAGCAATCAATGAGACCAAGGTTAAGAAACGAAATATCGTTGACCCCTTCACGGGTGAGTAACTCCTAACACCAGGTGGGTGCATCACTGATCTCTTCCAGGAGGGATAGACCCTTGGAATCATACTACTTCCTAATCTCTAGTCTTTGCTTCTCCTTGTGTCTTGTGTCTTTACTCAATTAATAAACATCAAGCATCTTGGGTATCTACTATATGCATATCCTGGGCTACAGTGATGTTTAGTACATAATCCTTGCTCTTGTTGTTGTTAGATATTGTTGAGTTAGTTCCGCTTCATAAGAACCCTGTGTACAACAGAACAAAACCACTGCCCAGTCCTGCACATGTCTACAATTGTTCTTGTGTTTGTGCCCATTGTTGTAGCCACCAAGTCCATCTATTTTGTTAAGCGTCTTCCTCTTTTTCACTGATCTGCTTCACCAAGCATGAAGTCCTTCTCTAGCGACTGGTACCTCGTGACAACATATCCAAAGTACATGAGACAAAGTCTCACCATCCTTACTTCTAAGGAGCATTATGACTGTTTTTCTTCCAAGACAGATTTGTTTGTTTTTCAGTCTATACTGTATTCAATATTCTTCAGTACCATAATTCAAAAGCATCGATTTTTCTTTGGTCTTCCTTATTCATGTTCTATCTTTCACATGAACACTTTAAAGAAGTCTTCTGCTGCAAAGTTGCCTGATGCAGTGCATCTTTTGGTTTCTTTATGTTGTTGTTCTAACATTTGTTGAAAACACGGTAAGATTGTCTTTACTCCTTTTTTGTTTGTCTTTTGGTTGATTCTTTTCTACATAGGCGATACTTCATCTGTGAGTGAGCAAAGAGTTGTATTTACACTTCCCCAGCTATATACCTTTATTTCCTTGTCTTTATTGTATTAGATAGAACTTCTAGTTTTGGTCGAGGAGAGGAGGGGACATCCTTTTCTTATTTCTTTCTTAGGAAAACCTATTTTGTCACCACTAAATATGATGTGTGCTGTAGGTTTTAATTTCTTTTTAATAAGTCAGTTTACAGAGGAGGTACACTGGTACAGATAGGAACTGAAAATACAGGGAATCCAGGATGGATGAGCCCTATAGGACCAGTGGTGTGAGTGGCAAAACAGGGA